CTCTTCAGATATTAATAATTACAGCTTTTCTAGTACTACTGAAAATTTATTACAAACCAATCCTGGTTAACGAAAAGTTGAATATACTATATAAATATAATTTTGGAAAAGAAAATAAATATTTTAATTATTCCTTTTTTTTTATTTTTTTAAAATTTTTATATTATTTAATTTAAATTTTAAAAAAAATTATTTATTTTATTTCTTTATATCCTTTTTTATATATTTCCTTCATTTTTAAAAATTATGTTGTCCTTTTATAATTTTATATTTATTTAGTAATAAACTTTGAATTAATAAATCAGTCATCTTTATTTCTTTTTACATATACTTTATTATAATTTATTTTTATAAAAATTTCTACTGTTTACTTTTTTTTTAAACTTGTTATTTTATAAATTTTGAAAAGAAAATTTTTTTTAATATAATTTCTTTATTTCTTTTTATATATTTTTCCTTTTTTTTTAATATTTTTATTTTTTATTTTTTCGTTTTATTTTCTTTAAATTTAATAATTTCAAATTAAAAAAAAATTAATATTACATTAATTTTTATTTTATAATATATATATACATCTTTTGTTTACTTCCTTTTTTAAATTTATTATTTAATTATAAATTTTGAAGAAAAATTTGTTTTATATCTTTATTTCTTTTATTTCTTTTTAAAAAAATTTTTAATATATTCACTTTTTTTTAAAATTTATTGTTCATCTTTTTTTTAATTTACTTTTGTTCAATAATAAATTTTGAAATAAAATCATTTTTATTATTTCTATTTTTTATTTTTTTATATCTTTCCTTCTTTTTTTAATTATTTATAAAGTTTTCATCTTTTTTTTTTTAAATTTACTTTTATCTAAAATAAATTTTGAAAAGAAAATTAGTTATATTATTTTATTTATTCTTTTAGATTTTTATTTTTTTTTAAATTTATTTTTTTATTTAATGATATTTTTTTAAAAAGAAAATATATAATTTCTATACTTCTTTCATTATATTTTTATTCCTTTTTATTAAATTTTTAAATGTTTTCACCTTTTTTTTTAAAAAATTTAACTTTATTTAATAGCACTGTTTGAAAAGAAAACCAATAATATTATTTCTTTTTTCTTTTAATATATTTTCCCCTTCTTTTTTTAAAGATCATTAATTTTATCATCTTTTTTTTCAAATTTGTATTTATTAAATCCAATAAATTTTGAAATAAAAATTATACTAATTTTTAATTTTTTTATGTTTCTTTTGTTTTATTATAAATCTAAGATTTCTTTTATTATTGTTATCTGTATTTAATAAAAAATTTTGGAAAGAAAAATTAATTATATTATTGCTTTATTTCTTTTTATATATATTCCACTTTTGAAAAACTTAATAAAGTTTACTTCCTTATAATACAATTTATTATTATTTAATAATACATATTGAAAAGAAAACCATTTATTTTATTTCTTTATTCCTCTTTTTTATTTACTTAGTACTTTTATTATTTTTATTTAATGTTTTCTCCTTATTATCAAATTTATTATCATTAAATAAAAAATTTAAATTAAAAAAAAAATAAATAATATTTTTTATTCATTTCTTTTATTTTTCCTTTTTTTCTTTAATCTATAATTGATTATATTATTTCTTTATTTATATATTTCATTTATTTCAATAAAATTTTCAAGCTTTTTTTTTTTTCAAATTTATTTTTATTTAATTAAAATAATCAATTATACTATTTATATATTTCCTCCATTTTTTCATAACTTTTAATTTTTTCATCTTTTTTTTGACTTTCACTAATAACTTTTAGAGAAGAATACTAACAAGTTTAAAGATTCGACTCTTTTTGGAAAAGGCATTTTTAATCTCCAGCAAGTTTTATCACAAATTTCTTATGAAGATAATGAAAGTCTCAACAATTCTAATGTACAAGTTGATGATAATATTAATCTTAATGAAATTCCTCCTCCAGGTACAAATTATTCTTCTCATATTAGTGTATAATATAATTTTTTTTATTAAAATAAATTTTTGTTTAGTAAAAAACTTTTTTATAGCTAATTTTTATTGTAATATTTTTTAAATGCTTTTTTTATTATCAATTTTTAAAAAATAATTTTATAAATTTATTATTATTATTTACTTTAATTTTTAGAGTTTTAATATTTCGTTTTTTTTAGTTTAACCTATTTTTATTACAATTTTTTTTCAATGCTTTTTTATTGTTATTTTTAAAAATATTTTTGAAATATAAGTTTAAATTTTATTTTATTATAATTTTACTTGCAAATATTTTATATGTATTATAAATATAAGTTTTTCTCCTTTTTTAAATTTTTATTTAATATAAAACTTTTGTTATAAATTTTTATATAATTTATTAAAAGAATTTATAAATTTATAATTTTTTTAACTTTTCTTTAAATTTTTAATTAATTTAAAGCTTTTGGGATAAATTTTTTATAATTTTTTAAAATTTAAAATTTTTTATTTGTCTTGAATTTTTTTGTGTTAATATTTTTTTTAATTATTTATTGTAAAAAAAATTTTTGTAGAAAAATTCATTTGAAATATAATTTTTCTAAAATCAATAATTTTGTATTAAAGTTTTTTAAAGATTTTTAACAAAAATTTTTTTATCTATAATTTTTATAAATGTCATATTTAATTTTTTTTTAAAGATTTATAAATAATATATTCGTATAATAACCTTTTGTGAAAATAATAATTTTTAATTACTGTAGATTTAGATTTTTAATACGTTGACTTTTTTTTTGTTTGGAAAAATTTTAATAATTATTTTAGATTTAAATTTTTAATTTTGTATTAAAAATTTTTTATAGTATTTTTGGATAATAAGCGTTTATAAAAAAAATTTATTTATTTTAATTTTAATTTAAATATTAAATAAGATTTTTATTATAAACTTTTGTTAAAAGTTTATATATAAAATTTAATTTAAATTTATAATTTGTTTCAAATATTTTAATGATAATTTTTTTATTTTAAACTTTTATGATTAAATATATAAATTTTTTTAATATTATTTTGAAGTTTTTTTTATAATAAATTTAGATTTCTACCTTTTTTTACCTTTTTTTTTTAATTTTAAAAGTTTTCTGAAAAACAATTTTTATAAAGTTCGCTTCTAATTTTCTATAAAATATTAACTTTGTACTTAAAAAAATTTTATATTTATAACTTTTTATAATTCAAATTTTTAAAAACGATTCATGAAAAAAATAATAATAATTTTTTTTTTCATATATTATTAAGTTTCTTGACTTTTTTAAAACTCATTAATATTTATTTATTGCAATTTTTTTTTTGTATTTTAAATTTTTAATAGTTTTTCTTATTTTTATTAATTATAAAAAAAATTATTTAAAACAATTTTTAAAATTATTTTAGTTTTTTATAGTAAATTTTAATTTTAATGAAGTTTTTTTAATAATTATTTTTTTTTATTTTTAGGATTTCTAAAATTTTCTTAATTCAAAGTGAAAGCTTTGTTATTATTATATTATATTATACAAATTTTTTTGGTATTATAAATTTTATTTTAGTTTTATAATCGAATTTACTTTAGAAAAAATTTTTTAATTAAAAAAATATTTATAATTGTTTTTTATGATATTTTAATGATATTATAAATATTTTATTTATTTCAGCTTTTAATTAAAAGTATTTAAAAAAATTTTAAAGTTAATTTTTTCAAAGATTTATTGTTATTAAAATATTTTTATAATATTATACAAGTTTTTATGGTATTTTAAATATCATATTGAAATTTATAATTTAATTTACTGATGAGTTAAATGATTTACTCAAATTATTATAAATATATATTATTTATTATTATTTCTTAAAATTATATAAATTATATATATAGAATTTTTTTATATATTTTAATTTATAATCAAAAGGATTGCAATGTTTAAAAAAATATTATCTAAAAGATTATTATAATTGATGATTTAAAATCTTGAAGATTTTTAATATTTTTATAATATTTACTAACTTTTTGGGTTTGTTATATTTTAAAGGTTTTTAGTTATTTATTTCATTTTTTAAATAAAAGATTTTCCAAATTTTCTAAATAATAAATTCTATTGTCAGGATTTACTATTATTACTATACAACTTTTTATAAAATAATTTTGTTATTTAATAAAAAAGTTAGATTTTTCAATAATTTAAAAATAATAAATATAAATTTATTATTATTATTTTTAATATTTTTATAATATTTTATACCTTTTGGTGTTTTATATAATATTTATAATATTTTTATTTTTTTTAATTTAAATTTATTGTTATTTCAATAATAATTTTTTATAGTATTCATATATTAATTAGAATTTTATAGTAAAAGATATACAACTTTTTTTAATTAAAAATTATTTAAATGATTTATCATTATTATTATATTATATTATTATATTAAAATAATTTATACTAATTAAAAGGATTATATTTTTTATAAAATTTAAAAAAATTATAGTAAAGATTTTTATTTGTTAGTTTCAATGTTACTATACTAACAGCTTTTCCTCTTTCGTCTTTTGCCTGAACATTTATTATTTTTTAATTATATATTTTTATTTAATTTATATTTATATATTTTCTGTTTTTTATTTTTATAGGCAGTAAACAAAAAATTTACCCTCGAAAATCTCAATCTATTTGTCCAACAGATACGTTGCAAATTTCGAACTCTACTAATAATTTTAATAAAAATGAAATATTTATGGCGAAAAATTATAAAAAAAATAGTAAAAATAATAATAACTCTCTTGATTGCACATTATTAAATACTAGTAATAATAATAATTTTAATAGTAATATTAATAATAGTAATAATAAAAGTAATAAAAATAATATTAACAACAACAGCAGTAATAATAATGTTTCAAAGTTTGATATTCGTAGCTTTTTAAATTCTACGCTTAATAATAATAAAAATAATATTATTTCTTGGGATGATAAAAAACTTTCACGTTATGTTTGTCTGAGTAAGCCTCTTGAGTTTCTTCCTAAAGAAGTTTTTCGGGATCAAGAACTTCAAGTTCTAAAAGAAAAAGAAGAAAAGGGAAACGAAAATTTAACCAGTTTTGGTGTGTTGCATTTATTTATAGTAACAACTTATTCCAAATTACATTGTTGTTTTATTTTTGTGTATTCTATATAATAATCATACAATTTTTCATTGGTCGTTATATAAAAACTTATTTTTATTATTTTTAATAGTTTTGATATGAAATTTTCTTCTATTGGTGTGTTATTTTTATTTTAATAAGATTTTTGGTTATTGGTGAGTTGTACACTATTTTATAGCTATAACTTTATCTTATAACGTGAACTGTATTTATTTATATTTCTTTTGGTACGTTATTCAATTTTTTTTTTTAGGGATTTATTTTTATAGTTTTTATTTTGTAAAAACTATTTATTGTTGTGCTCGCATTATTCTTTAAAATATTTGTGTAATTTCCACTTTTTTAATTAATAACTGTTATGAAGTTTTATGTTATGTTATCGAGTTATTATTTGATTGGTGCGTAATAAATTTGTAATATTGTTCTAGTTTGAAATACATTATTTTGTCATTTTTTTATTGGTTTAGTTTTATATATTTTCTTTTTAGTTGGTTAAATATTTTTTAGTATTATTGTTGTATTACATTTTTTTTTAGACTAAAAATTATTTGTTTAATGGTTAAAAAATATTTTTCCTTTTCTTTTATTGGTTTATGACTGTTTCTGTAGGATTTTCTATAATAATTAAATTTTTTCTTGTTTATTTGTTTATGAAAAATTTTATCTTCGCAAATATCGTAACATTATTGGCGTAACATTTTTGAGGTTTTTTTTTCTTTTACAATTCATTTTTACTTTTCTTGTCGTTGTGCCATAATTTTTATTGGTGTATCTCATAGACGTGGCTTTATTTTTCTTTCTATTAGTGTATTATTCTGTATTCACGAATTCTCAATTATTTTTTTTCCGTTTTATTTAGCATTTATGTTATATTTTTTATTGTAATAAAAATATTTATTACTTGTTTATTATATTTTTCTTTACGTTTATATCTTTTCTGCTATTTCTCATTTTTATAATATATATTTTGAAAGGACATAAAATTGAATCTTATGAAGATCGTTTGGGTTTCTTTGTGCCTTGCTTTAGTTATTTATTATATTAATAATATATAAATACTTTTGTTATAATAAACAAATATATATATATATATATGAAAAATAGTTTTTAAAAAAAAAAGTAATAAAATATATAATTTTTATACAATTAAAAAATTATTTAATATAAATATTATTTCACTGAATATAACTATTTTATAATAAAACTTAAAATAATACATTTAAGTAAATTGTTAATTTATAGAAGAAACGAAAAAAATGTAATATTCTTATTTTTAAAAAAATAAATATATATATATCTTAATCGTTAACTGTTTTTATTTATTATTTTTATTTTATATTATAAATTTTTTTTACTTTTATATATATTGTTTATTAATAAAATTTGTTATATATTATTTTTGCTTCTATATATATTGTTTTTTTTATATATATAAAAATATATTAAAAATAATTTTTTTATATAATTATATATTTTTATACAAAATTTTTTATTAATCATTATCTTTGAAATATTTTTTTTATTTATTTTTAAGTTTCATTATTTATATTGAATATTATCTTTTTACTTCTATTTATTTTGTGAATTTTTGTATAAAATTTATATTACTGCTATTTCTGAATTTTGTTTTTATTTATTTATTATTATTACTTTCATATACGATATTTATTATTTTTTTTAAACTATATTTTTTTACTTATAATTTCTTATATTTATATATTTAATATTAAGTTATTTTTTTGGGGTTACATTTTTTTCTACTTATAATATTTTTTGTTTTTTTTTTTAAGATTTATATTTTTTTTTACTCTTATATTCTTGTTCATTTGTTTATAAAGTAATTATTAATTTTTTTACTTTTGAGGATATTTTTTATTTATAAAATTTGTTAATATTATTTTTTTCTACTTTTAGTTTTTTATATAATAATATATTATTCATTATTTTTTATATATTTTTTTTACTATTATTTATTTTGTATACTTTTATACAAAATTTATTACTTAAAATTATTTTTAGATACATTTTTGATTTATTCATTTTGTAAATTTGTATATTAAATTTACTACTATTTTTAATAATAAGTTGTGGTTTTATTTTTTTTCCTTTTATGTATTTTGTATATTTGTATCCAAAATATATTATATATATATATATAATATTTATGTGTATATAAAATTTATTATTATCTTTAATATATTTATTATATATATTTTTATTTATTTTGTGTATATAAAATTTATTATTTTTTTAATATTATATTTAATATATATTTTATATTATATAGTTTACTATTAACTATTATTTATAACTTTTTTATATTTTTCACTATTTTTATTGTATTTATATATATTCATAATATTTTCTGTAATTTAGAAAATTATATTTTATTATTATTAAATTAAATTTTTTACTTTATTTTTTTTTATATTTATATATTTATATTAATTTTTTATTATTTTTTCTATTTTATTTTTCTTTACTATCATTATTGTATTTTTAAAAATTAGGAACGCCTAAAGCCACACTTACGGTAGAAAAGGAAACTACTCAAGTATAATTTTTTTATATATTTAAGAAAAGTTTATTTATAATTTTTTTTTATTATAAAAAAGTATTTGTATAATATTTAATTATAAAATAATATTTTTATAATTTTTTTTTTGTTTCTAAATTTATTATATAATATTATATGTAATATATATTTTATTAATTATTATTGACTTTTTTGTGTAATTTTTATTAATTTAAAAAATTTATTTTTAATAATTTTTATTTTGTATTAAATTATATAATTTTTTATATAAATATATATTTTCAAAGTTTTTCTTTTCAATTTTATTACTATAATATAGTATTATTTGTATTTTTTTATATATAAATTATTTTTCTTATATTATTACAAATTTTTTTTAATTGAAATAATATAATTTTATTTATAATAATTTCTATAATATTACTTATATCAAATTATTTTATATATAATTTTTATATTTATTTTAAGGGTTTTTTTAAATTTTATTATTATTATAAAATATTAATTATATTTTCTTATATTTATTATTATTTTGACGTCTTTTCGTAGTTTTTAGTATATTTTTTATTAAGCTTTTATTATATTACTACAAATTTTTTTTATTGAAATTATAAAATTTTATTGGATAATTTTTATTACTTATATTAAAGTGGTTTTATATACTTTTTTTATATAAATTTTATTTTTTTAGTTTTTCTATTAAATTTATTATTATTATAATATATTTTTTATAAAATTTTCTATATACATTGTTATTTTGTCGTTTTTTATAATTTTTATTTTATCTTTTTTAGGAATAGTTATTATTATTTTTTTATCTAATTACTAATTTTTTAATTTATATAATTTTTTTTATAATTATTTTTTATTATCTTTTTATTATTTATAGTAATTTATATAATATAATATAATAATATTTTAATAAATTATATAATAATGAAATAATTAACAATATTAGGTAGTAATAATCAAATAATAATAATTATTATATACAATTTCTTATATTAACCTTTATTGTATATATAATTTTCTATAACAATTTATTATTATTATAAAATACTATTTACATATTTTTTTATTATTTTTGGCGTCTTTTTTATAGTTTTTACTTTTTTTTTATTAAATGATTTTTTATTATTTTTCTTATATATAATATTTATTATTTATTATTTTCATTATAAAATAATATTTTATTTTTATTTTTATTATTTACATTTTTTAACTACTTTTCATTGTATTAACATGAACTATTATTAACTTTTGACATATTGTCTTTTCTTTATATACAATATAATAATATTATCATATACTATAACATTTTTATTATATCTTTTATAATTACTTTTGTTATTACTAATATTATAACACTACTTTCACTTTTTATTTTTATATTTATAATTTTAATAGTTTTATATTCCCTCCTTTCCCTCCTTTTCGCTGTACAATACTTCTTATACTGGTGGAGCCCATGAAGTGATTGAAACCAAAAAAGTTACTTATTTATAAATGACTTTTACTCATATTAGTATAATATTTTTTATTTATATATTTATTTAGTTTATAAATAAATTTTTTTCACAAATTTTTATTATTATTGTATATTTTATATTTTTATATAATTTTTTATATTTATTTTTATATATATATAATATTTTTCAAGTATTTTTATATATTTTTTTATATATATTATGTATTATTTGCTTTTTTATATATTTTATATTTATCATTTTTTAATAGTTATGCATTTTTAATATAAAATTTTCATATTTATCCCTTTTATATATATTTATAATTTTAGCATTTTTATATATTTTTTCTTTATTTTTATATTTTGATTTTTTTTAAATATTTTTTTGTATTTTTATATAATTTTCTATATTTTTTATATATATATTTTTATTTTTGTATTTTTTATATATTTACAATATTGTTTATTATAATGATTTTTATATAATTTTGTATATTTATTTCTTTTTATATATTTTTATTTATTGTTTTTTGTATAACTATAATATTATATACATATTTATTATTTTTATGTAATTTTTTATATTTATTTCTTTTTTATATATTCTTATTTATTGTTGTATATATATATATATATTATTATTTTTAATATTATTTGTTTTATAACTTTTTCTTTTAAATATTATTGTTTCTGCTTTTTATTATTTTATTATTTTGCGCGTAATTTTATAATTTTTTTAATGTTATTACTTTCTCATTAAATTTTTTAAAAATTTATATTATATATTTTTATATTTCTAATTATTTTATTATTACTATTTTAAGTATTTTTATTTATTCATTTTTATATATTTATTATATTATTTATTATTATTATTTATATTTGTTTCTATTATTTCTTTTATACTTTTTCTTTAGTTTATTTTATTTTTATATTTATTATATTATTTATTATTTTACTATTTACATAATTTTGTTATTTTTTTTATTTTTGCATATTTTACTGTTTTTTTAATATTTCATATTTATTCTTATTTATTTGTTTTTAAATTTTTATATTGATAATTTCTTATTTTACTTCTTTTAATTCTTTTCTCATATATTTTTTATTATTTTTTATTATTTATATTACTTTTTTCTTTACTTTTATTATTTATTATTTATTTTTATTTTTATTTTTGTATCTTATATTTATTTATGATTTTATTTTTTTTTACTTTTTTTTAAATTATATATTTCAGTTTTTTATTTTTTTTTGTTATAGTTTTTTACTATATAAAAACTTTATTATCTTTACTTATTTATTTATATTTCTTATATATTTTGACTTTTTAATTTTTTAACATTTTTTGTATACTACAATAAAATATAATATTTATTTTTTATTATAATCAAAAGTTTTTTATGTTTCTTAAACTTTTTTTTATCTTTACACGATACTTTTTTGTTTTTCTTATTTCGTAACTTCTCATATTTAATTTTTTTTCTTACTAAAGTTTTAAATAATTTTTTTAGCCTCATGAATTTTTAGAAGATTATTTATGGCGCCAAAAAATAGTTGTTGGGGACGTTGGCTCGCCTTGTGATTGGCGTACGTCCATCATAAATTTTGTTAATGCTTTGGGGAAAATTGATCCAACTATGACGAAAGTTATTTATTAATTATTATTATTTTTATTATTAAAATATATAATTAAATTCTTTTATAAAGTTATTGTTCTGACTTTACATTAAATTTTACTGTAACACTTCTTTATTACTATTAGAAAACTTCTTTTATATTTTTATTTATATTTCAAATATTATTGTTTTTTATTTATCATCTCAAATCTCTTTTGACTTATGTTATCTATATATTTTTTAATATTTATTTAATAAACTTTTTATTATAAATACTTTTTTATTAGGAACGACTTGAATCGAGAATTAATTATATAAACTCTATAAAGCCTGCATATACCGCCGCGCCGGAGTTTTCAAGGAAGCATTACAAGCAAAAACTTAACGCAAAAGCTATAAACAAGTATTATTATTATTAAGTAAAATTACTAGTATTACTAATTTATTATTTTTTAAAAAAATTATTAGTATTAATATTCTTACTAGTGGTTGTACTTTTTCTACTGTAATGTTATTGGTTTCCTTAAATAATGCTTTGTTGCTTAAAATGTAGCTAATTGTAGAGTTTTGCTATTAAAGTTTACAAATTATTTTTTTATTGACTCTTTTTTTTTTGACCTATATTTTCTGTATATATTTTAACTTTTGCATTTTTTTTCTTATTGGCCTACTTTTTTATTTCACTGCAATTGGGCTAAAGTTTATTTGAACCTCCAATACAAAAATGTTTAACTCTTTTAAGTAAAATATTAAAAAAAATTACTGCCGTTTTTATATTATGTTCGCATATAAACATTTTTATTGGCTCTTTTTCTTTTTAATAACGTTATCGACTGGATTAATAAAGCACGTTAAACTTGATTTAACAAGATTTACTTTCGCCATTTTTTTTTGAAATATTTTTAAGCTTGAAGTAATTATTAAGCCTTTTATTGGCCATTTATTTTTATTAATAATTCATGTCTACTTTTTTTTCCTAAAGCTTCATGTTTTTCTAAAATTGTTTTATAGATATTTGGACGCTGTCGAGCAAGTTTATAACAACTATACAAACTTATAATAACATTCCGTTTATCTTCTACTGCTACTTAGATAAATTTATGCAAAAATAAAAAATTATGTTTATTTTGATATTTTCTGCAAAAAGATTATTTATAATTATAATATAAATAATAATAAAAGTTCATTCAAGTCTTAAATATAAAAGTACAAAAAAAATTATGTCAAGCTTAGGCAAAAGAAATTACGCTTACTATCTACATTGAAAAGAGAAATTTTTAAGTAAAGAAATATAAAACTTGAAAAAACTGAATAAGTACAACTCAATTGGTTGTAAAAGCCATTAAATAGTTAGTTCGCATATTTTGTATGACTTAAAAGCGTTTATTAAAAGTAAGTTACGAAAACAACTCACTTCATAGTAAATTCTTACTTAAAACTACAGAACATTCAAGTGAACTCTTATTTATCATATAAAAAACGTGATCATTTCCTATAAACTTTTAATAGTATATTTAAATTTTATTAAAGTTTATTGTTGCATAAACTACTATTGAAGAGGACAATAAAGCAATCAAAGAACTCTATATATAAAACTATACACGAACTTATAAACAGGCGAACGTCTAGCAGTGTATTTTTTATGAGGCTAATTACTAGATTTTTTAAACATTAACTTAATTCATGAGTAAAAAAGTTTTTTATAAGAACAAATTAGAATGACGCTAAAATGTACATACACTACAAAACTAATGCACACTAAAAATGACGACCAGGAGAGCAAAATATGAAGTACAGAAAAAAGAAAGGGGCGAGTTAACTAGTGGGCTACACTTAAAAAAAAACAATAATAGAAAACACGATTAAGACACAATAATACAAAACTCAAGGTATAAAAATACAGAAAAAGAAAAGAGGTGAATTGAATGGTTTTGTTAAGATTAAAAAATCACGATCACAAAGTACAATAACAAAAAATAAAACAGGGAACACTATCAATAAAAAGGCTTGTATAAATTACAATTAATGGGACGCGAGTACAGAAAGGCATGGTTACATTTACAAGTTGTTTCCTTCACTTTAGGAAGTTAATTTATTTGCATACCTACTTTAAAATCTTATATTTATTTAACCTTTGACACTCAGTACAGGCTAAATTGATGCCTCTTTCTGTTTACTTCTCTTGTGGGCACTATATAATTAATTCCTAGTGAATTACCGCTTGTGAAGTCAGGAACATAATAAAACAAAAAAAATCTATTTAGAAGTAAATATTATAGTTAAAAATCTAATTAAATAAAAAACCAAAAGCTTTTATGGTTAGCTAGAAGAAATTACAAGAAAACATTTTAAGATTATTAGACGGAAACAACTCAATTATACAAAAAATATTAATATATATAAATTGGTCACTAAAACATCTAACTAGTGGTGACCAATCAGAATCTTAAGTTAAAATAAGAGAGCCAATGCCCGTAGAAGTAGGAGCAAAAGGTCTTTAAGATGGAATGTTAGAATGCAACTGCATAGTAACTTTGACAACGCGCTTGTCCGATACTAAGAATCTCTCTGTGTAGTGCGAAGCAATTTACTAAAAGATATTAATTATACCTATTTCTTCTCTACTTTTTAGTAAAAAAAAAATATAGTTATAACGGAAGTACCTCGCGAGGGGTAGTTTTACACTGAAAATAAAAATTGTTAAATTGCAAAGAGTATAAAAAAGGTTGGGAGCAGATCAATTATTATACATATATATACTCTTTTTATATCAACATACATATTTTTTAAAACAAATTTATTGTACTTCATGTGTGTTTACTGTGCTTAAACACAAAAAAATTTATTTGAAACAAAGCAAGAGAAAGTAGGACAATATACAAAATTTTAAGAGAAACCTTTCATGTAATTAAAGGTTTTATTGTTATCAGCTTTTTATTATAGTTATTATATAATTTATGGTTTTCAGTATCATTAAAAAAAGTATAGAAGCTTTACGTAACAGAAAGATATTCATAAAGGTTATCTGAATTTTTTTTATACAAAAACTATTAAACTCTATCAATGATACGGTTTTTTTTCCAAAAAGATAATAAGTCTTTACATAATATGAAAGTTATCCTATTGACTTCTTCCGTAAAATACCAAATTTTATTTTACTATATTTGTGACTCGCAGTGACTTTAAAAAATATAGAAAGCTTTCAATTGGTAAAAGTTATTTTAATAGATATTTTTATAATTTATATATATCTATGCTTGCTATAACTGACTTGTTAACGTATAAAAAATGTTATTTTTTTTATATCGGAAACTTTTTTTTAAATTATTTACACATAATAGTCTTGGCTCGCAAGGGGACGACAAAGGTAATAGAAGCGTACGCAATTTTACAATTTAACTATTATCAGAAAATTGTGACTTACAGTGCTATTTTAAAAAATAAAAATGCTTATACATAGCAAAAATTATTTGAATAGATGTTTTTAGAATAAATATATTTACACTTATTATTTGTGGTTTGCGAATGCTATTAAAAAAGATAAAGATGCTTTCACAACATAAAAAGGATTTTTTTTTTTTACTTTTTAAAATTATTTATAATTTTATAATTGACTCTCAATATTTTTTTAAAAAGAAGCTGTTAAGTAATAAAACTTTAATCCTAATATATCTTTTTAATTTAACTATAATTAAAATAATTCTGGCCCAGTTTTTTTTAAAAAAGATTACCAAGTAAAAAAATTATCCTAATAGGTTCTTTCAAAAAAAAAAAACTTTCTTTAAATGTGATTATTCAAAAAAAGCTCTTAAGGAATAAAATTGTTATCTTGTTAGAAACTTTTTGTTAATTATTTACTATAAATGCAACGTATAAAAGTTTTCTTTTTAAATATAGTTATAGTTATTTTACTATAATTGTGGCTCGTATAAAAAGCTTTTACTTAATAAAAAGAATTTTCTAATGGCAACTTTTAAATTTAATTACAACTAAAATAATTGTGGCTAAAAAAAAGTAAAGAGACTTTTACGTTGTAAAAAGGATATCCTTTTAAAAACTTTTTAAATTTAGTTATAATTAAAATAATGTTGACTCGCCCGTCGTTTAAATAGTTTTTAATTATGTTTTAAATTTTTTTTTACCGTTTCTAGCGACCCGCAAGTTTTCAACAGTATATAAAATTTTATTTCCTAATTTGTTTAGTTTTTAAATTATTATTGTTCATATACATCGTATTGTCTCTCAAAACTTATAATTTACTAATATTTTACTTTTAATGAAAATATGATTATGCAATCTCAAAACTGTTTAATAAAAAAAATTTAATTTTATTTGCGATCTTGTAATAACTTTAAAGCATCAGTAAGTTTCTTTAAATTCATATTTTCCTGTTCCAGCGAATTTTTTAAGGCAGCGATTCGGCTTTCGGACTCAGCGATCTTCACGAGCACAGAAAGTCAGTATAAAAATAGTAATATAGTAAAAATTTTGTATATAAAAATAAAAATAAATTAAGAAAATAATTCTTTTTTTACTTTTTCATTAATAAAAAAACAATATAAAAATAATTTTTTTAAAAAAATTAGAAAATAAATAAAATAATTTATAAAACGTTTTTTTGTAAATATAATAGTAATATAAAAATTATTTTCTGTATATAAAAATATGAAATAAATATTCATAAAATATTAAAAATTATTTTTTTATAAAAATATATAAAAAAATAAATAATAAAACTTTTATATATATATATAAATAAATAAATAATTTTTTAAAGTCTAAAGAAAATATTAAATTATTTATAAATATAAAACTTTTTTATAATTGCAAAAAGTAATATAAAAAGATTTTAAGTAAATATAAAAATATTTAAAAAATAAACTAATAAAAAAAATTATAATTTTTAATAAATAAAAAAATTTTATCCAAAACTTAAAGAAAATATAAATATATAATAAAAAGAATTTTTTAAGTACGAAAATAAAAATTTTAAAAAAAATTTTTTTATAGATATAAATATCACGAAAGAAATATATGAAATTGAATTTTTATTTACACATAAAAAATTTTAATATATACAATTTTTTTAAATTGAAATAAAAATAATCTAAAAAATATTTAGAATAAATAAAACAACTTTTTTTCTAAAATAACAATAATAACAGAAAGTTAAAAAAAATTGAAATCTTATAAAACAAAAAAAGAAGTTTTTACGAAGCTAACAACCATTATAAAATATTATAAAAAAAAAAAGATTGAAAAATAAATAAATATAAAATTAATTAAATAAACAAAATATATAGTATATGTTTTATATTTCCGTATAATAAATAATAAACACAAGTAAATTTATTATTATTATTTTTTTTATTTTTGTTTTATTATTTCTGATTATATATATTTTTTAATTTATTAGTAAATGCATTGATTTAATTTAATTATAATTATTATTAACGTTAACAAATTTAAATTTGCTTCTTATTTATTATTACTGTTTTAATTCTAATTATTATTATTATTATCGTTATAAATTTGTTTGTTTTTTAGTTATTAATTTTATTCTAATTTTTGTGTTGTTTTCCATTATTAATATTAATAATAAACTCGTTTGTTTTTTTATTTATCATTTGATTTTATTTTCTTTTCATTAATTATTTTGTATGCTAAATATAATTTTTATTAAAATTTTATTATTATAAATATTATTATTTTGTTTTCTATTATTATTATAATCAATAAATTCGTTTGTTTTTTATTTATTACTTTTTTATTTTCTTTTCATTATTATCATTTTTTTTTATAATAAGGATAATTGTTTGTTTTTTCTTTATATTTTTAAATTTGTTTTTATTATTATTATATTTATTTATTTGTTTTTTAATTATTATTTTAATTTTTATTATTACTATTAAATTTATTTACTCTTGTTTTGTTGATTATTTTTATATAGTTTGTATTTTTTATATTTCTTTGTATTATTATTATTTAAGAAATTTATTTTTTAATATTTATTAATTATAACTTTTTTTTTTTAATTTTTTTAACTTTTATGAATAATCATTATTATAATTACTTGATTTTTCTAATTTTATTTTATTTATTACTATTATTAACAAATTTAATTA